CATATTCTTGATTATTTGGGTTTATTGTACAATATATTCAAGTATTTGTGCATATTCTTGATTATTTGGGTTTATTGTACAATATATTCAAGTATTTTTGCATATTCTTGATTATTTGGGTTTATTGTACAATATCTTCAAGTATTTGTGTATATTCTTGATTATTTGGGTGTATTGTACAATATCTTCAAGTATTTGTGTATATTCTTAATTATTTGGGTGTATTGTACAATATCTTCAAGTATTTGTGTAAATTCTTGATTATTTTTTCTATAATCAACTCGATTTCTCATTTCATTCGAACATTAATTCTAAATTCATACAATAAATCAAAATCACTAAAATAAATTTAAAGAATCCCCGCCTCTCTTTCAATAATTTCAACTATTTCTACTTAGATAGCACAACTATTGTTTGTACGTTGCTAAAGGCAAAGCTTTACAATTGGCTATCTGTGTTCTGCTCACCACGAGTATCTAAACCCTAATTTTAGCGTTATAAGCCCTCGGACCTGTCTCTGAGATGCCGGAGACGGCTGGCGAGTAAATAGTGAAGTTAGCGATATATATCAGTAGAAAACTGGCTTGAAATCTACGGGTTGCGGGTTCGAACAGGCAAAATTTCTGTCTTTATCAAAACGATTTGATAGAGGGTTGTATACTACTGTGGATGGACGAAGCCTTTATTATTATAGTAGAGAATAAATATTATAAATTGGTAGAGACTTACACAGATAATCTTATAGATAAAACGTTTTCTGAATTATAATACGATAATGAATTATTCCCAATTACAACAACATAACGTCGTTCCTTGCATTGGATTTTCATAAGGATGACTTACAAATTTTTAATGCAGCCTTCCACACCCTAACCAATCTGAAGACCCATAACGTTAACAACCCGGTTTCGATTATTGTGTAGTTTTGTTCTTAACAACAAACAAACTAAAAAATGTGCTTTTAAATCACACTCAAGATCAACACAGCTTTGGATATTTTTAATTTGCTTTAGGTATTTGAGATGACTGATTACCATTTCATTTAGTTTTTTTTTTTCTGGTGAAAGGATTTTCCCTGTAATTATGTATTATCGTTTTGATTTTTTGCTTCTCATTAATTCTATTACTAATTTCTTGGGAGAGCTTTGATTTGCATCCTTTTGTGTTCTGCTCGAGATGTGAGATTTGTATTAACCAAAGTTTACGTGCGCTCGTTTCTGCGCATGTCACAAGGTTTTACTCAGTTACATATAAAATTTAATTAAGCAACTTGAAGATAAATGTACGTCAATAAAATTAGCATTATAATTTACGTTAAATTCAAAGTTTTATAGTATCTAAGTTTTAATTCCTTTATTCAAAAGAACTTTAAAGGAAAACTCATAAACTTCAGTTTAATTGTCACGTGACACACGATTTCACAGAATCCAAATTTTTCGTCTTTGTAACTTTACCACTTCTTCACGTACACTATACTTCTATGTATAGACAGAATTATATAAGAGGGTCAGCGAGTAAAGCTGTAAGGGTTGTTTTGATTAGCTGTATTGTTTAAAGTTGAATGTTCTGTTAAATATCATCATCCAATGAGCTCACGTTTGTTATACGTTAGTTAAAAATATTTATACTGCTGATTAGTTAGGATTAGTTGAACACAAGCTATAAGTCGAGAGCACGGTATCGTTCATGTTCCATTAAGTATTGGTCGACTGTCATATATATATATATTTATACTAAACCTTTGTATTATTTATCCGTTTGAAGCTTAATCGTAATTAGTAACGCCTTAATGCAGCTTCTCGAAAAATATAAAAATTTGTTCTTTAGATTACATCCCACTCTTTTTTTTTTATCAGGAGCAAAAATAAATCGGTCCGAAAAAGCCTTACGTCCATTTGAATTAATTTAAGATACTGGCTAATGTGTTATATAATTTGACGAAGCTTTTGTCTTCTGGTTCAAATGTATTATTTGTCATTCTGCCAGAATACAAAAAAAGAAAAAACACCCCACCCACCCCACCCCCCAACAGAAAAAAAAGAGTTAAACTTAGTTTTTTCTACCATTTTATTTTGTGTGAAACAAAAAACTCGAAGATAATTGGATCATTGAGCAGATACTCATGACATCTGGAGAGTAAAGACGTTATTACGATGCATACATTCCTGTAGCACATGATAAAGTAAGTATCACGACATAACAAATAGGAATGATAGACCCCAAATTAAGAAACTTAATATTGTTTGTTTTGGGGTTAATCCACACTCAGTGCGGGTATCGCAACCCCAGAGCCGCCGAGAGTTATTCCTGGTCCGATAGTTACTCATGACATCTGGAGAGTAAAGACGTTATTACGATGCATACATTCCTGTAGCACATGATAAAGTAAGTATCACGACATAACAAATAGGAATGATAGACCCCAAATTAAGAAACTTAATATTGTTTGTTTTGGAGTTAATCCACACTCAGTGCGGGTATCGCAGCCCCAGAGCCGCCGAGAGTTATTCCTGGTCCGATGGTAATCATGTACATATGAACCCACATAATATCAGTCAACTATAAAATGAAACTTTCCGAGCCTTTTTCATGGTAAAGTTTTTAATGCACTCTAAAAAGTCAATTTTTTACGGGCCTTCTTATGAGAGCGGGCCCAGGGGTAGTCCCCCCGTTACCCCCTATCGGCAGTTCTGCGCTACCAGATTTTTAGCTTAAGAAACTTTTAGACTTACCTCAAAAACCGAATTGCATTTAGAAGTTTTGTGCTTATTCCCGAACTTTGTTTTACTGCTGTTTTTCTTAAGTCGATTTAGGTGATTTTAGTTACTAGTGCCGACAAGTGTTTTTCTTGGAGAGTTGTGTGTTAATGAAAATAGCTATTGCATAAGTTTTTTACTCTGAAAAGTATTTTTAGCTCAACTACGTTGCACTGGAATAGTGTTGACGTTCCGGTTATGACGTCACGCCGTTCTAATTACCATACTTGGAAATATGTAAAATAACAACAACAATGAAACTGTCACAGGACACAAGCTATGATAGAACAAATATATGTTGTTCGTGTCACTTCATGTAACTGTAACGGATTAAATGAAAAGAACTCAACGCCTGTTTTTAATAAGATCTACACGGTGATCCAAAACTAACTTTTTTGTAAATAAGATTTAGTTTTACAAGTGGCGTGTATGCGACCTGGTCACGTCCATTCTTCAACAACTCACGTATAAAATTATTCTATTTTATAGAATTGTATCATTAAAGTGCTTAGTAGAGAAGAATAACAATAGATAAGTTAACTGTGGAACGTTGTTGTTGTTGTATACATTTATACTTGCTTTAATATGTATCAGAATTCACAGAATATATCTTACTTTATAAAATTGAAACCTGAAACATTTAACTTTGTTTTACCATTGGTTCCGTTTAATTTACGTCTAAGATAATATCTTAGTAAATGGATATATTATCAAAATAATATCTTAGTAAATGGATATATTAATGAAATAATAAATCAGTAAAATAATATCTTAGTAAATGGATATATTAATAAAATAATAAATCAGTACAATAATATCTTAGTAAATGAATATATCAATAAAATAATAAATCAGTACAATAATATCTTAGTAAATGAATATATCAATAAAATAATAAATCAGTAAAATAATATCTTAGTAAATGGATATATTAATAAAATAATAAATCAGTAAAATAATTTCTTAGTAAATTAATATATTAATAAAATAATAAATCAGTAAAATAATTTCTTAGTAAATTAATATATTGATAAAATAATACACCAATAAATGACTAAAATAATATCTTAATAAATAAATATCTCGATAAAATAATACATCAATAAATCAGTACAGTAATATCTTAGTAAACTGATATCTTCGTAAATTATAAAATAGGGAAATTAGAAAACATTAACTTATCCTTACGTATCATTTTTTTTTGTATTCAGGTTCAATCACTTTCTCATTTCAACTCAAGCTTCACGATGGCCGACTTAAGGTAAGTATTATGCTTGTTATTTACACAGAACGAAGCATTTTGTTTGATCATAAATATTCACCCACAAACACACTTACACAGTGGCTCTGAGCGTAGTATTAATAATTAATATACCTTTTGAGTTTTACCTAAGTGTTGCTCCATTCGATAGTATTGTAGTTCACATATTTGTGATACGCTAAACACAAATTAAACGTTAATAAAATCGAAAAATACAAAACAATACGTGTATATAGTTTCGTTTTGAGTTTACTTACTGATAAAGTATATTTTAATACAACTTACAGCTTTTACAAAACGTTCTTTACTGCAAAAACTTGTGTATTTGATAATGATCGCACCAGTAATCGAAACGTCGTACCTGTTCTAATAACTAATCTTACTTACTGTAAAAGCTGTAAATTGTAATAAAAAATACGTGTATTTGGTTCTTACAGGTTTGCTCAGACACGTCAGTAACCTTTATCTCTGTAAAGTTCTAATTGTCACAGAAAGTTATTCCTTTTCTTTATTCTAAAAATGCTTACTTTAGCAGCTACTTTTTAAAATACAACAATTCTATCGCGTCAGTCTTAAAAGCAAATAAACTAGCAAAAATATTTCAATTTACTTGACAAAAAGACTTACCCTTCAATTCTGAGACCGAAAACTGCAGTAATATTTATGGTTTTATTCCTTAATTTGACGCAGGAAATAAGAGTGTTGCTTCTACAGTTACTGAATAGATGTTAGGAAATACCACGGTACTCTGTTTCCATGACAGCAGTTATTTAATCTATTGTATGTTTATGGGGCTCCAAAGCTCCCCAAAACTTGTCTTAAGTTGATGTTTTATCACAGGTACTATAAATTCCTTCAGTAGGTTTTGATAATCTGAAAGAACATTATAACAAATCACATAAATCTTGATTGTTCGTTTGTTTGAAGTTAAGCACAAAGCTACACAATGGGCTATCTGTGCTCTGCCCTGTTTTGATTTTAATACTTCAATAAAAACATATCTTATCAGCTCTCAAAATGAAGTATACTAAAATAAAAGAGTATTTTCGATGAGTGTTAAATTTATTGTAGTACACAATAATTTCAACAAATGATTTTACATACAAAAAAAATCATACATAAACTAAAAACAACACTTCTTAGTTAGATATGTAACCAAACCTATCAATGCAAATTAACGTAATATCTCAAATAATATTAAGTTTATATACAACAAAACCAACGTTTAATTCACCTCAAAATGTAAAACTATTTCCGCCATGGAAAGTTAAGACTAGCTCAGAACCTATAATGCTGTTCAAACACACCTCATCTACCGGAAGAAATATAATAAATTCGAAAAGTTCCCTTTCTACTTCAGGGATTGTACAAGTAATTACCTTTTCTGTTTGGTAAATTTTTCTCAAATGATTGAAGCAAAACAATTTCAATGTCCAAAATGATGCATTTCTTTTACTCTTTATTTAGAACTTCCTCTACGATTATATATTTCATTAAAACTATTAATTTACCTTTTATCACATTATCTTAAGAGTGTAGTTAAAAATATCTGGGTTTCTTGTGGTGACAAATAAACTTATACAAATATAATAGATGTGTCTGGTGGGTATACATCAAATGCGATGGTAAATAGCTATGTCTGGTGGATATACATCGAATGTGATGGTACATAGCTGTGTCTGGTGGCTATACACCAAATGTGATGACAAATAGCTATGTCTGGTGGCTATACACCGAATGTGATGGTAACTAGCTATGTCTGGTGGGTATACATCAAATGTGATGGTAACTAGCTATGTTTGGTGGCTATACACCAAATGTGATGGTAACTAGCTATGTCTGGTGGGTATACATCAAACGTGATGATAAATAGCTATATCTGGTGGCTATACACTAAATGTGATGGTAAATAGCTGTGTTTGGTGGGTATACACCAAATTTGATGGAAATAGCTGTGTCTGGTGGCTATACACCAAATGTGATGGTAAATAGCTGTGTCTGGTAGGTATACATCAAATGTGATGGCAAATAGCTATGTTTGGTGAGTATACATCAAATGTGATGGTAAATAGCTATGGCTGGTGGATATACATCGAATGTGATGGTACATAGCTGTGTCTGGTAGGTATACACCAAATGTGATAGCAAATAGCTGTGTCTGGTGGGTTTACACCAAATGTGATGGTAGATAGCTATGTCTGGTGGGTATACATCGAATGTGATGGTACATAGCTGTCTCTGGTGGGTATACACCAAATGTGATGGTAAATAGCTATGTCTAGTGGGTATACACCAAATGTGATGGTAAATAGCTATGTCTAGTGGGTATACACCAAATGTGATGGTGAAATGTCATTTCACACTTAAGAGTCCAGTGAATGTTGTTTTCTTTTTGAGGAAGGTTACATTGGATCCATACTAGACAGGACGTAAGCTGCTAAACGAAGAATAATGAAGTTATCAAAAGAGTTACTTATATTTTATATCATACTTGTGCACACATTTGACCGGTTTTAGGTCAGCCGTATGCGCTTGAACAAAGAAAATCCTTAATAAATTAGTAATAATAAGTCATGATTTCTCAATCTCTGATCTACTTTCTTCATTCTTCATATAGCGCTTTTTATATATTAACTAAAAAGTATGATCTAACAGCAAATGACACGACCTTCATCTCGCCGGTAGTGTCGTGAAGATGGAATGAATACAATAATTCAATATCACATTTTTACTAATTGTGTTTACGAAATTTACATTTACTTCGTTTATTTTTTCAATTACTTATTTTTTCTATTGTTACGATAAACATTATGATCCACGGAATTTACTCTAGAATTACCCCTTATCCTTATTGAATTTACTCTAGAGTTACCCCTTATCTTTGTTGAATTTACTCTAGAATTATCCCTTATCTTTGTTGAATTTACTCTAGAATTACCCCTTATCTTTGTTGAATTTACTCTAGAATTACCCCTTATCTTCGTTGAATTT